CTTTCCTTTTTTGAGACGGAGTTTTGCTGTTTCACCCAGGCTGGAATGAAGTGGACTGATCTCAGCTCACTGCAACCTCCGACCCCTCAGGTTCAAGCAATTCTCCCGCCTCAGCGTCCAAAGTAGCTGGGATTACAGATGCCTGCCACCATTCCTGGCTAATTTTTTTTTTTTTTTTTTTGTATTTTTAGTTGGGATAGAGTGTCCCCATGTTGGCTAGGTTGGTCTCGAACTCCTAACCTCAGGCGATCCACCTACCTTGGCCTGCCTAAGTGTTAGGATTACATGCATGAGTCACCACGTCTGGGCTCATTTACTTTTCAAAAAGATCATTCTGGTAGCTGAGGAGGGTGCAAATGGACAGTTTTCTGAGGTGGAAGCACAGAGGTTAGTTAAGAGGTAACTGCAGTTGTTCAGGCTGGAGAAGAGGGGGTGGCAGCAGCAGTGGAGGTGGTGTGAAATGGGTGGATTTTGGGTAGCTTCTGATGCTTGATGTAGGGTTTAAGAGTCAGAGAGAAGTCAAGAATACTCTAGGATTTTTATTTTGTGCAATCAGATGAACATTGGTACATTTCCTGAGATGGGGAGCATCCATTGTGGCATTGTAGGAAAGAAATGAGACATTAATTTGGGACATGTACATTTTGAGATGCCTATGAAAATTCTGAGCTGGTGACATGATTTGAGAGTCACCATTTTGGAAAAACTTAAAAGTCATGGGAGTGGAGGAGGTCACCAGGGAGTGAAGAGAAAGGCCTAAGAACTGAGTCCTAGGAAACTCAACATTGAGAGATTGGGAAGAGGAGAAGGCTCTCCACTGAGAAGGAGTGGTCAGCGAGCTTGGAAGCAGTGTGAAAGAAGTGCTTTAAAATAAAAAAGGGTGTATCAGTCAGGCCAAATATTGCTGAGAGGTGCAGGAAGATGAGGCCTTGGCTCTGGCAGCATCAAGGCCCTTAATGACCTGGACAAGCAGGGTTCCCAAGGGGAAGTAAAGATGAAAGCCATCTTCAGTGGATGGCAGAAAGAACCTGGGGAGGGAAAGTGGAATCAGGGAATATAAAAGTGGAGTGCTTTTCTTAGGGGAAATACAGGAGTAGTTTGGTAGCTGGAAGGCAACGTGGCTCAACAGAGGAAGAAAAGGAGAGATCAGTGATGCTAGGAAAAAAAGATCTTGTCTCTCTGCCCTTAAAAGACTCACTTAAAAAAGTCCCCTTCTTACGGAATCCTGTGACCCGTGCATGCCATTTTATGTAAGCAGATGTTTAAGAGGACCTCTGAGCCACAAATGCAGCAGACACAATCAAACTTCAAATCCCAGTTTTGGTTCAGCTGGCACCCTTGCCACAGTCCCACTGCCAAGGTGGTGTTGAAGATCCTTGTTCATCACTGTATTTTAGGTAAGCCTGGCTGAAAGGAGGCCCCAGCAGCATGCGGTGAGTGGGTGTTGAAGGAATACCTGTCTCTGTTACCTTAGTAATGAGAGTGAGAGACAGTGGTGCCAGAACATATGGGGTTTAAGGCTTGTAATGGGAAATCCTAACAGAAGGCGTCTGATGTCTCTGACATCTTTCTGCAGGTGTTTTCCGGGGTGGGGGTGTGGGATGGCGGAGAGGAAAGCCCTGCTCAGGGTGTTCTCTTGGACAGATCACAGCCCTGGACTGGCCATCCCTTGGGGACTTCTGAAGCAGCAGAGGGATCTGGCTGGGATGGAGAAATTCTGCCCACTCTGCCCTGGTGGGGAAGCCACCAGCCTCTGCCTTTGGAACCCCTTCATGAGAAACCTTCAGGCTCATCCTGGGGTCAGGTTGAAGGGAAAGAAAGGTGATTACTTTCAACCCTGAATTCTGCAGTAGGTGCCTCCTCATCAATCCCTGCACTACATAAGCTTTTGAGGAGTGGACTTGAGCAGGATTAACTGAACGCCATCCACATCAGATTGAGTCAGACAGCCGCTTCCTGCATGTGTGTGCATGCAGTGCAGAGCATCTCAGTAACTGCCTTCGGATAGGGACTGATGAGACATTTAGGTAGTGAGTGACTGGATAATATTTTGTGATATTCATTCATGTTTCTGTCCCCCCCCATCCTTTCCATGGATTCAATCAGGTAGCAGACTTTGTGCCTCCCTCCTTCAGGTGAGATATCAGGGAGGGAAGGAAGCAGGAGAAACTTGCAAGTTTTCTGGGCTTTTGTTTTCTAAAAGCTAGAGACCAGAAAGAGGGCAGAGGTAGGTGGGAGCTTGGAGAAGCAGGAGGTGAGAGGAGTTTCCCTCCAGGTACAAAGGATCGTCCAGGCTGGGGGTGTGCAGAACAAGGTTGGTTGGCTGCATGACTCAAATCCTGGCTCTGCCACCCAGAAACCATGTTATCTTCAACTAATTACCTTAACTTTTCTAAGCCTAAAAATGAGACAGTAATAATGCCTACCTCTTTGATGTGTTGTTCTAACATTGTAGTTTTCGTCCCAGTGTTCTGGGTTGTTGATATGAAGCTTTAGAGGTCCCTGAGACACAAAGCCACCTACCTAATTCAGATGGGAAAAAAGTCAAGCAACAAAGCACATCTCTTCCTGGCTTGATGCCCTCTGACGCCTTTGCAAGTCAAAATCAGAAGATACCAGACCTCAAATCTTACCCATCATTTCATTAGCTTTGTCAAGACAAAATGGACATTTCTGGGGCAACTGTTAGGTGCCCCATCATTGGTTATCATTACTTTATCACCATTATGGGGGCTGACTGGGCTTGGCCAATTGACTCTCACTTAGGAGTTATTTGCATATCTGGCAGTTGAGGCTGACTGTTGGCCGGGACCTTAGCTGGTAGGAACATCTCCATGTGGCCTCTCAATGTGGCTTGAACTTTCTCATAGAATGATGGATGGGTCTCAAGGGAGAGCATTCCAAGAAAGACAGGTGGGAATAGAATGGCCTTATATGACTTTGGAAGTCCCACAGGTCACATCTGCTGCATGACATGCAAGATGTGGGTAATTAGGCTTCACCTCTTAATGAGAGGAATGCCAAAGAATCTGCAGAAATATTTTAAAACCACCAGACCTTTCTTTCTTTCTTTCTCTCTCTCTTTTTTTTAAATTTAACAGAGTTTAAGCAAAGAATGATTTGTAGATTGGACGGCCCTCACAACCAGAAGAGCTTCAGAGCAGCTCCAGGGTTGCCACATGATTGGATCACATTTACGGACAGAATCAAGAAAGTAACATACAGAAAAGGGAAGTGAGGACAGCCGGCTTTCTTGCAGCTCCACATTTGCCTAATTTGAACACAACCACCAGGCCTTTCTAAGTGTGCATCATTGGACAAGTTACTTAGTGTCTTAGAACTTCACTTTCTTCACCTATACAGTGATGATAATAACCATAACACCCCCTTTATAGAAACAAAGTGAGAATGAAATGAGTAAATTTGCATAAAGCCATAGTGATGGCTCAATTAGAGTTAGTGCTTATTTTAAGAATTATCTCTACTGATATTCAGGGACCAGATCACTAAAAAAAAAAAAAAAAAAAAAAAAAAAAAAAAAAAAAAAAAAAAAAAAAAAAAAGAGAAAGAAAGAAAGAAAGAAAGAAAGAAAGAAGAAAGAAAGAAAGAAAGAAAGAAAGAAAGAAAGAAAGAAAGAAAGAAAGAGAAGAATTATCTCATTAATATCTACCCAAGTCTTTGAGATAGGCATTTGACCCCCATTTTGCAGAGGATGAGACAGAAACCCTGAGAGGATAAGTAACTTTCCCAGCCCAAACGTCTTCCCAATTCCCAATAGGAGGTCTCCTCTGGGGTTGATGGGGGACACTGGAAAATATTTACAACTGAGTTCTTCAGGACCTGGGATAAGTAGACACTCTCACCTGAAATAGCAGAAGGACCCTTAAAGTATGGTCATTCTGGTGTAACATCAAGGTAATGGACCACAATTAGCACTATTATTACTATTATTATGGTTGCTATTATAATTTTTTGTAGAGACAGGTTTTCACCATGTTGGCCAGGCTGATCTCAAACTGGCCTCAAGTGATCCACCTGCCTTGGCCTCCCAAAGTTCTGGGATTATAGACGTGAGCCACTGTGCCCAGCCCCAAATTAGCGCTTTTAAAAAGTGACATCAAATAATACAAAATGGGAAATATTAGAGTACATTTTGTAAATATGGGTAACCTTCATGAAAACTTTTGTTTCTTACATCTCATTCATCAGTGGTTTTCAAGTCAGGACTATTTTAACCCCCAGGAGGCATTTGGCTGGAGACAATTTTGATTGTCACAGCTGGTGGCAAGGGATGCTGCTGGCATCTGTAGGTAGAGGCCAGGGATGCTACTAAACATTCAGCAATTTGCAGGACAGTGCCCGCCCCCCTCCCAATAAATAATTCTCCAAATCAAAATTTCAGTAGTGCCGAGATTGAGAAATCTTGATCTAAGTATATATCTATATCTGCATATCTATATCTCTCTGTGTATACTGGGCTGTAATGTAAAATGAATTTCATCCTGTCGGTTGCGGTTGGAAAGTTTGAGGGCCCCTGGCCTAGAAGTCTCTACATGAGTCCAGCTCCTGGACCTAGTTTTGCTCCCAGCATTTGCTCACCAGCCCCAGGTAGCATCTGCCCCTGTTCAGATGATTCAGATTTATAATTTATTTTCTTCTGGTTTTCTTTTATTGTGAGGTCTCCCAAAATAGTACTTATCTCAGGAGAATTGAAGCAGGGCATAATGTGCCCGAGAGAGAGAGAGAGAGAGAGAGTCCTCTAACACCTCTTACCCCTGGTTCAGAGAGAAGGTTTGCGCTTTCCTGCTGGCTAATTCTTTTTTT